ACTGTCAGTGCACGTGAGGCCAGACACGCACATGTAACTGGCCCTGCCAGAATATCAGGTTGGTCATGGTGCTAAATGGTGGTATCTTCCACTATATCTTTATTAGTGTTCTGTAATTCACACTAATCTTTTCTAGCTGGTAGTAGTTATTTAAAAAAAAAAAAAAAAAAGATACACATGCATTTAAGTAGTCAAATTTGGTTAGATTCTGACCAAATGAAATGTTTTAAATCACTTGTTGGACTTGAAAGAAAGCATTTCCATAGCATTTAAGATTTTTGTATTAAAAAACTCACAAGGCTGGTATTTCCAGGCAAATTTACTTAAAAAAAAAAATACACATGCATTTAAGTAGTCAAATTTGGTTAGATTCTGACCAAATGAAATGTTTTAAATCACTTGTTGGACTTGAAAGAAAGCATTTCATAGCATTTGAAGATTTTTGTATTAAAAAACTCACAAGGCTGGTATTTCCAGGCAAATTTACTTAAAAAAACCTTTTATTTTGGGAATGATAGTTTAATAAACTGGTTGCTTGGTTGTTTTTTCACTCCACTGTTAATTCAAAGTGGACTAAAATCTACATTGTCTATTAAGGAAACGCACCAACTAAACCTTTCTGAGTAGGTTCATTTTTGTAACCGAAGTACAGAAGAGTAGTATTACACAGCTTTGCTGTGTAATAGAGTAGTAATTACTCTCCAGGTGCTGCATTTGCACGCTCTTTGTTGACCCTTTTTAGCACAATACCATGTAATGCAAATTATAAATGTCATTCTTTCTGACCTCTCAGCCACTGTATGCAGTATAGCGCTTCATTCCTAAATCAGGATTTTATTATACGATGTCTCAGGTTTCTTGATCACAGCTGATACCTTTGACTTACAAATAACTGACACAGACATTTAACTTGGGTGACACTAAGGAAATACTGTGCTAGGAGAAAAGGAGACAGCAGCATTTCCCAGCACATTTACACATTTCTGACACTCAGGTAACCAGCCAGCAGCAGGGAGTCTGGTGCTGGCTTGAGAGACACTAAGTCTTACTGGAGTTAATGAGTGACAGATGGAAGAAAGGAAGCCTGCATGCCCCCGAGTGACTAGATAAGGTCAATATAAAGGGCCTTATTAAAGAAATTCTACAAGTATATGAAGTTAAGCAGGCTGAGGCTGCATGCTGAGAGACAGTCCAGTTCCCCATCCTTACAAGGAGCTTCAAGCGGGCAGAGTGATGATTCTCAGAGAGACAAGTGTTAGGTTAAGGTCAGACAGTTGTTACCACATCCGACCATCTGCCTTATTTCTCTGTCAGACACTGTCTAGTGGCAGGGAAAACTGATCTGGTCGTAAATCAGCATTTCAACTCCTGCAGTTAAGTCTGATAGATTAAAATCGGTTTCTACCATCATATATAAAGATCAAAACCATGGTGGCACTGTCTTTCTGCACTGTTGACTTCCTCAGGATGCTGATGTGAAAAAAACAGAGGAAGCTCCTGAACACGTGGGTAAGTTTCAAGTAGAAAGAAAAAGACAATTTTACATTTGTCAACCCAGTAGTAGACTTCTTCAGAATTGCCAGATTGCAATACTTTGTTAATTATCCGTTGTCAGTGAACTTTTATTTAAAAAACAACAAAAAAAGAGAGATTATAGAATCATAGAATCATTAAGGTTGGAAAAGACCTCTAAGATCATCGAGTCCAACCATCAACCCAACA